AAACATATATATATATATATAAATATATATATATCTGTGTGTGTGTGTGTGTGTGTGTGTGTGTGTGTGTGTGTGTGTGTGTGTGTGTGTGTGTGTGTGTGTGTGTGTGTGTGTGTGTGTGTGTGTGTGTGTGTATGTATGTATGTATGTATGTATGTATGTATGTATGCATGTATGTATGTATGAATGTATATGTGTGTATGCATGTAAATACGCACGTATATACGTTCTATCTACATTCACCTCCATATATGCAGAGAAGGGAGAATGACAACAAATAAAACCAACAAAAAAGAAAACATAAAAAAAATAATAAAAAAAAAGGAAAAAACCTGGCATCCCAGCGGATTCACACGCATGCACGTGCGCACCTTAGACGAACGCAGCATCCTACCCAAACCAACCCAAACCTCAATTTCTTTTTCTCTCTCTCTCTCTTTTTTTCTCTCTATTTCCATCTCTCTCAATGATCGCGCGAGAGTTGGGTCCAATAATGGTTTATAATTGTATACTGATGATTACATTTGAGAGGTGACAGGGGGGAGATAAAGCAATTATTCCGCGATCAAAGTCCCGTTAGAGCATTGAAGGGAGAGGAGAAATCGGGCCGTTTTTGTAATATTTTTTTTTCGCCGCGTGTCGTTGGTCGCGTTCCTGGTTGACGGCGGTGTGCGAATGGTGTTGTGGGAATATTGTGGGAATGGTGTTGTGGGAATGGTGTTGTGGGGATTGTGTTGTGGGAATGGTGTTGCGGGAATGGTGTTGTGGGAATGGTGTTGCAGGAATGTTTTGGGAATCGTTTTGTGGGAATATTGTGGGAATGGTGTTGTGGGAATGGCGTTGTGGGAATGGTGTTGTGGGAATGGCCTTTTCGGTGATGTGTTTTGAGTCTTAATGATGTTTTTTTCGGGTGTGTGTGTGTGTGTGGGGGGTGATTTATTTATCTCTGTGGTTGCCATGGTTTGTTTGTGTGTGTGTGTGTGTGTGTGTGTGTGTGTGTGTGTGTGTGTGTGTGTGTGTGTGTGTGTGTGTGTGTGTGTGTCTATGCGAGCGCGCGTGTATGTCCGCACCATTGTATATCAACGTGCAAGAATATGTATAAATCCACACTTCCACATCCGACTTAAAACTCGCCATAATCTGCAACGATGCACCCCCCCCCCAAAAAAAAAAAAAAAAAAACTGAAACAGATCAACACCAAAAAACAAAAGCCTTACCTGGCACACGATGACAGCCACGACCACAACTATAATGACTATGGCAGGGATGATGAAGAAAAGCCAGTTTACGTTCCTGTCCTTCGAGCCCACGGGGGGAGTCTGTACGCCTGTGGGAGGAGAGAGAACATGTTTTACGTAAAGGTGGATTTTTTTCTTTTTTTTTTGTTATTATTGCTTTATTTTCTGTGTTATTTTTTTCTTGAAATGCGGGTTGTGGGTGATTGTGAGTCTTTCTTTCTCTCTCTTTCTCTTTCTCTCTTTGTCTCGCTTTCTCTCTCTCTCTCTCTCTCTCTCTCTCTCTCTCTCTCTCTCTCTCTCTCTCTCTCTCTCTCTCTCTCTCTCTCTCTCTTTCTTTCTTCTTTCTCTCTATCTCTTTCTTTCTCTCTCTCTCTCTCTCTCTCTCTCTCTCTCTCTCTCTCTCTCTCTCTCTCTCTCTCTCTCTCTCTCTCTCTCTCTCTCTCTCACACACACACACACACACACACACTCTCTCTCTCTCTCTCATTCCTTCCTTCCCTCACTCAGCTATCAATTCATTCAACCAGTCCCTCCACCAATCAACCCCCTCCCCCTCCCCCACCCACCTGACCTACCGGCCTCCTTACTCAGCACAGTGAGGTGGGCCTCCTTGTACGAGTAGCCGAGCGTGTTGAGGCCGAGGCACGCGTAGACGCCGGCGTGGCTAGGCGTGGCGTTGCTGATGGTCATCTTGGAGAGGTAGATACGGTCGCCCTTGGCCACTACGGCGCCCGCTCCCTCCACCCGCTTGAAGGGCCGCTCGCCCAGCTGGTACACGTGGTGGCTCTTGTCGGCCGAGACCCCGCTGGCGTTGGCGGCCACGGTGTCGGGGGGGATCTCCTTCAGCCACTGCAGGAGGCGAGGGCGGGATGTGAGTGTATGATGGGTTAGTATGTGGTGGAGATAGATAGATAGATAGATAGCTATAGATAGATAGATAGATAGATAGATAGATAGATATATAGATAGATAGCTAGATATAGATAGATAGATAGATGTATATATAGATAGATATAGAAAGATAGATAGCTAGATATATATATATATATATATAGATAGATAGATAGATAGATAGATAGATAGATAGATATAGATAGATAGATATAGATAGATAGATAGATAAATAGATAGATAGATATAGATATAGATATGAATAAATAATAAATAAATAAGTATATATGTACACCTATCTATCTTTCTATCTCTCTCTGTACTTTCCTAGCCTTTCTTTTCACAATGCTTCCTAGAGAGAGAAAAAAAAAAGAAATTTATACTTCATATTGCCTAAACACGAACCCCTTCGGCGGCGCGTATTATTCAAAAATATCTTCGGAAAAGGCAAATATTTTGGCTCGCGACGACACCCCTGGAAGCCATGAAAAGCGGGGAGGGAGGCAGGAGTCGTGCTGTCATGGGGGAGGGGAGGGAGGAGTGGGATGGAGGAGGGGGAAGAAGGAGGGGGAAGAAGGAGGGTAGAAGGAGGGGAAAGAAGGAGGGGAAGAGAGGAAGGAAAGGGAAGAGGGGGAAAAGGAGGGGGAAGGGGAAGGGAGGATGGGTAGGTAGGAGGGAAAGGGAGGAGCGAAAGGGAGGAAGGGGAGGGAGAAGGAGAAAGGAGGAGAGGAAGAGAGAAGGGGAAAGAAGGAGAGCAAGGGAGGAGGGGAAGGGAGGAGGAGGAGGAGCAGGAGTCATACTGTCAAGGAGATGGGGAAGGGAAGGAAGGGAAGGCGAAGGAAGGGGCCGTACAAGCAAGGAACGAGATGAAGTCAGAAGATGAGAACAGGTCGTAGGACGGAGAAGGTCGTATGTGAGTGACTAAAGAAACTTTTTTTTTTCTGAGGTGGGTTTGGGAGCAGCATCCGAGTACTCAGTCACGTGGCCAGGTTAAAAAAAAAACGTTCCAGAACATGTTTTGTGTAATGTGTACGCACGCCTGGTGGCTCGTCTCCCGGAGGATCACGGAAGAGAGAGGGAAAAATAGGCCTAAGGGTGATATTACTAGGCCGCTATACACAGGTGAAATAAGCCTTTCCTGATGCTAAGGAGAGATTAAATATCCTCTTATTCGTCTAGCGAGACATATGCTAGATAATAAATTTGATGGACATAATATAAACACATTTAATTATATTTTACTTCTCTGTTTTTCATTTTTTCTTCTTTCTTTCTTTTGTTGAATTCAATAACATCAATTCGACTCGTAACTAAAGTAAGAATGCTTTGACAATTCCTAGTATGATTTCAATGCCTTTTATCTAGCTGCAGTGGGGGAATAAAAAAAAACACAAAAAAAAAAACACAAAAGCAAAACCAAAAAAAAACAAAAAACGACAATACAACCCACTCCATTAACACCGGCATGCGCTCGCTCGAGATAATGGAAACAACAATTGAGTGACAATGGTACATGTACTCACCAGTATCGTAGGCTGATGCGACGTGCGGACAGTACACTGAAGAGCTGTACTCCCTCCCTCCACAACGGTTGTATTGACCGCATCGCTGATCTCCAACTCCTGTTCTTCTTTGGGTTCTGTGGGGGATGCAGAAAAGGAGAAAAATCATAATCTTGGAAAGTCTGTGGAGAAGAGGCTGGCAAAAGTCTACGGGCCCGAAACCCATGTTGTAATTATTATGTCAGGTGAGAGTAAATTCGGGAAAGAAAGAGCGAGAGAGCGAGGGAGAGGGAGAGGGAGAGGGAGAGGGAGAGGGAGAGAGAGAGAGAGAGAGAGAGAGAGAAAGAGAAAGAGAGAGAGAGAGAGAGAGAGAGAGAGAGAGAGAGAGAGAGAGAGAGAGAGAGAGAGAGAGAGAGAGAGAGAGAGAGAGAGAAATAGAGAGAGAAAAATAGAGAGAGAGAAAGAAATAGAAAAACAAAGAGAGAGAGAGAGAGAGGAGGACATAAAAACAGACATCCAAACACACAGAGAATAAACCCGAGAAAAAAAAAAAAAAACATATCCAAACCCCATTAGGCACCAATTACCAATTACCACTTACCAGTCATCACCCTAACCCCCAGAACCTGAAGGACGGCCGCCTTACCCATGGGTTATTCTCACTATCTCAGACCCATGGAATAATGGGGTTCCAGCATTAACTTAGTGAGGCTCGCGGTCACACTAGGGAGACGCCGCAATGAGGAGGTAATCTTCGTAATGTTAATGTGATAATGCTCATACGGAAACTCATGATGGGTATGATATATAGGCTTATCAGGAGGGAAGAGGGTTGGTAGGTGGTGGTAGCTATGATGAGTGATGGGAATTAGTGTTAAGGTTGGGTCTTTTTTATGGCGTTATTGTGATGCTGATGATTTCATAACCTGGAAATTACGCCATGTCTGTCTGTCACTGTCTCTGTCTCTGTCTGTCTCTGTCTCTGTCTCTGTCTCTGTCTCTCTCTCTCTCTCTCTCTCTCTCTCTCTCTCTCTCTCTCTCTCTCTCTCTCTCTCTCTCTCTCTCTCTCTCTCTCTCTCTCTCTGTCTCTCTCTCTTTCCGTGTGTGTGTGTGTGTGTGTGTGTGTGTGTGTGTGTGTGTGTGTGTGTGTGTGTGTGTGTGTGTGTGTGTGTGTGTGTGTGTGTGTGTGTGTGTGTGTGTGTGTGTGTGTGTGTGTGTATGTGTGTGTGTATGTGTGTGTGTGTGTGTGTGTGTGTGTGTGTGTGTGTGTGTGTGTGTGTGTGTGTGTGTGTGTGTGTGTGTGTGTTGTGTGTGTGTGTGTGTGTGTGTGTGTGTGTGTGTGTGTGTGTGTGTGTGTGTGTGTGTGTG